TCCATAGTGTGAATGTTATTGACCACTCTGGCTTAGAACAACCAAACATCAATTTTCTACGTCCCTAGATAGGGAATACCATCAATGAATTGTTGTTTCTTAATGAAACTGAAATCAAGGATGTTCAATCTGATGTTAATCGCGCGAAGTTTCTAATATGGGCAAAAAATCTTAGAGCACGATCATATCGTGCAAGCCACATTTCCACTGTTCTCTTGAGTTCATCATTCTCAGTGGTTGTATTCACCAAGAATTCGGGAAAAAACCCGACGCAAATCCGGCACCGATGCTCGAAGCACAGCATTTCTAGTTATGGTGCAGCACTTGGCTGAGTATGGGAGAACAGGTATTCAGGAAGTGAGTGCAATGTTTATCGCATACAATTGCCTTATTGTAATCTGCATTATCAGAGAAAAGCACTTGAAACAGATGAAAATCTTAAGTATCAGATAGTATAAAAACGATTCAAGAAATCGTTCAAAATTGCGAACACTAAAAAAATGACTGATTCGATTGAAGCAATTTCTATTTCAGCTATTGAATTTATTGAAAAACATGACCGGGTCGTGAATTCGACGAAGAGACATACAAATAATCAAACGAAACCTACCACTAAAATTTGTAGCGTAATACCACTACTATCGAATACTTTCGCGCACTCGTTACTTCGTAGAAACATTCGACTTTCACTATCTTTTATACTGTTTGAACCTTCCTTGAAGAAACTATTTTATGTGCAAAAAACATTCGTATTCGACCGCCCATTCGGGTATTGGTTTGGCACTTAAAATCTAGCATGCCCGTTTTTGTGGTCGATTGAAAGCGTTAGTTACCTAAAAGAAGATGCATCACTGTAACAACTTCTTTCTCATGATCATCGCTCTGTTGCACTCATCAAGCAAAAGCATAGCGTTCCCCGATGAGTTTTGTCGAAAAACACTAATTCACACCTCGCTTTAGCAACAAGTGACTAACTGCTGCCGTCAAAACACGACTCTGAATAACCTTACCGTAATCAGTCAATTATCTTTAGCTCAGAATCTGTCCTTTTTTTGCACACGTCGCTTACGGTGATTTTGGAATTGCCNATATGTTGGATCTGGTAAGTGTTGCTAATGGAATATCTGAAAAGAAACACTAATGTAATTTCAGTGTGAACTCCTACTGATGATGCGCTGGTTTGTTATGATATTCTGGTTTTCTAAAGATGCCACAAAAAACAACGTTTCAATGGTTTCAGCGAATTGTACTCCAAGCAAATTATAACAATAACTACATCATAATTCAACGATTTCTTGAAGCATCTCTACTCCAAACCCGTTCCATCAGCAAAGTAAGCACCACTCTGCTCTCATGAATTCGGCACAATTCTCATACACCTATTGATGTGGCTTTTTTTGTTTTGTTGTTACGTGCGAACTGCGCATTTCTCTTTCCATCAAAACGCAATACAATCACAGCAAAATTAGTATTGGAATCTTTGCACGACTTTACAACAAGACAGTTTAAACAACCGGTTCAAGAAGGAAGCATCTGGAACATGGATATCGATTTGAAAACAAGGGTCAGCAAGTTGAAGATCACTGAAAGCAAAGTGATTACGGGATCGCGCCACTCAGCAGCGATCCATCATTGTCGCTTCCGATGCAAGATTTCATAGTTTTAATTGATGATGACAATTGAAACACTTATCAACAAATTTCTATTTTTTGAGAACGATCGTGGCGGTGTTTCTTTCTTGAGTGCATTAAAGACAGTTCAGATTCCTATGATGACTGTCTGGTGATATCCATGGTGAACAACGATCTACTGCCATCGATCACGGCATCAATAGGCGTGATGATAGGCCCGCTCACAACAGTGATGATGCTGGGAAAAGTATGGAGTTGGAGTGCATTTTCAGATGGATTCCATCGCATCTGATGCCAAATAAAACAAACACTCAGTTCTTATGTTAGGTAAATGTTGCGCATAAACAGTTTGTGAAAACCAGAACAGGCAGTGTGTAGTGNAACAGATGATTTATAAATTTTAAGTATTGTGTCTATGAATTCGATGCATGTACGGTTGAAGCGTGGCGTTTGCGTGCAGCTTCCAATTACATCATTATCTACTGACCTGTTTTCAAGGTTGAATTTTTTACAGTTTAAAATGAAAGGATGTTCCAGTGCAACACAATATCGAAGTAAATTTAGTCAGAAACCGACTTCAACAATAATTTTCATTCACAAAACCAAATCGTTATGCGTTATTCCCTTTTAGTCAGGAACGCACTGTTTCGTTTGAACCTGTAGAGTGGCGTCACACCTTTTAAGAAGAAGCCAAGAAACATGTTCTACTACTTTATGATTTCACTTTCAATTAAGTTGGTGAAAACTGTTCGTGTTACAGTGATCGCGGTCACTAATTTCCTTCTTTCTCATCACTGCTTATAGATCAAGTAAAGAAACATGTTTAATGTATCAACGAAACAGATTAACACGGCTATCGAATCGTTAAGGAGGAAGAAGGACTTCTATACTTTTCAGAGAGTGCCATCCGCTAATCGTTCCACCTCTATTTACCAAAAAAACTGACTGTCTGAGAAGTTAGATTTTTGAGTTGTATTTGAATGTTTCAGAAATCATCGACTTTGAACTCGAAAATCAGGTAGTTACTCAGTGATGAAACCAAAATTTGTCACTTAGAAGTTTGTAAATTCAATTCGTGCACTGCTTTCGTCAATGAGACCATTAAGAACTGCAGTAAAACTCTTCCTCTCTAACGGAACATTAAGAAATTCAGCGAAAATGTATTGTTGACCTTTTTTATGAAAAAAAAANAAAAAAAAAGAAGAATTTCCTTATGTCAAATGATGGCATCAATACCTATCCGATGACTTTTTGCTGCGTTTGACACGAAGGACGTTCAAATGCAAGGTAATCGCTGGGTTGGTTTCACTGTAAAAGCAAAACTGGTCTATGAAAGATGTGAAAAAGACTGATATTTAACGAGACAATTTCAATATTTACACACGGGATAGGCGACTGCAGCGTGAATATTATAATGATGTTTTTCTGGTGTACGGGTGTGATAGGCATAGTACGGGATAGCAGCAAATTGTACATACACATTTAACTTCAACAAATTGCTTATACTTTCACAATTAATGCTTTTTTTCAGGGCATAGAAAAAAGTTTCAACATTTGTGCAGCTCATAATCACTTCTTTGATCTGGCATAGGAGGACGAATAACCTGTTGCGTAACCAGTGCCCTGAAATTCGAAAAAATACTTCACATTCGTCTGAAACAGTGCAACGACCATTGATGTACATATTGTGACTGCCTTAAAAATTTGATAAATTGAGGCAGGAGTCGACTCAGGGTGTCCTAAAAAATGTATACACCTTTAGCATCTCATAACTCAATTGTTTGTTTTTTCTTTGCAGATTTAACCCATTGAACCGAATGATGTCAGCCAGACTAAACTTTTCTAAAATGCTGAAACATGTTGAAATTTGTTGAAAATTAAACAAATTTTGATAAACAGCTAGTTTAAAATTATATAAAGTGTGTATTCAGTTTTTGGTACACCCTGTATTATTGTTTCAACACGGACATTGTGTACTCAATGGTCTTTACGAAGAATTTATTTACAAATTTTTTTACTAGAGTGGATGGATGGACCTGAAAACGTTTTGAGNGTGCTTGCCTCATAACCATATCCAGAACGACCAGCATCGTAAGTGGCACGACCGTAATCACCCGTTGACGCCGTTGGTACTGCTGTTAATCCGCTTGGTCGAGAGTAAGATGCTGCCTGTGGCTGATAGGCATCCTTTACTGGCTGATAGGCATCCTTGGCTTGCCAACCAGCAGTTCTATCCGTGTAACCAGTTCCGAAGCCCTCAGCTGGTCTTGTGTACGAGGGCGCTACTGAAGGTGCCACATGACCATCAACCTGTGCACCGTATCGATCATCTTTCACTTTTGCCGCAGAATCGTAATAACCATTCCCGTTCGCACCAGTACCATAAGCTCCGGCACCAGTACCGTAATTACGCGCGTAATCGGCACTCGGTGACGGATAAACAGAAACACCGTCAGAGGTTCTTGCGAATGAACCATCATGACGATACGGTTCATCGGTACGATGCTGTGTGTACCCACCTGTACCATAATCCGAGAAAGTGCTTGAAATTGCTGGTCCTCCTGCCGGTCGACTTCCTAAATCAGATGTTCTTGAGAAACTGCTAACTGGTGCTCTTGGCATACCACTGGTGGGTCGTGACCGCGAACCTGATAATAAAACCTTAATTAATCATTTCAATCATCCTTCATCTCCATGCCAACTTTCAGCTTCTATCTGAGTCTCATTCACTGTAAATTTATCCGGCAATTCACCACAAAACATAGGTCAATTTCTGATTCAGCTAAACTGTTGCGCTGTTCCACTGGAGCAAAAAATTATCTTAACAATTATTCTTTTCCATCCCCATATTGATGTGGCGATCGGTAATTCAACGTATCACCCAACAGTGTGCTGAAGTAAATATTATGAAATGTCAGTCCTATGAAATGAGTGCCTAGTGTTGTTTTATTTACATCGGTTATAAGATTGTGCATTGTGCACAGGTGCTCGCTGAACTTGTTCCAATCTTTCGATGGCGCATGATTTATGAAAGAAAGTAAGAGATAAGATTTATTGAATCCTGTCATTTTTTTACTCTGATCCGTGATCGCTTCGTTGGCAAAAGAACACTGAAAGTGATTAACTGGATATTCATGCCGAATCCTTACAATTAGCAATTAGGCAAAAAAATGGCTGTGGAAACCAATTGTACGGTGAAAATATAGTCAAATGTATGGAAGAACTGACCAGCAGAAGGCTGTTGATCACAGCCGATAGCTGGGCCAGCCGTTGCCTCAGCTCCACCTGTACCTGCAGCAGTTACTGCGCCGCCATTGCTCGTACATCCTGTGCCATGAGCGGTTGTTATGTGAGATCCACCGTCATATCCACTTTCGCCATACGTCGATGGTGCAGCTCCGCCGCCAAAACGACCGGTTGACACTCCATCACCAACAAAATGTTTTGCACCTTGAGCGATAGTAGCACTTACGGGAATATGTCATGTCGCGTGTTTCAGGTAACCGTACAAACAAAAATATCAAGGAAGATCTATCATGTGAGTAGAAGGTAAATGACTGTTGAAACTGATCAGTGCAATTAACCTGCTCCCGTGGATGGACATCCGCCTACGGAAGGCTGCAGCGATGCAGCTCCCTGGCCACCACCATCACCACCAGTACATCCTGTGTCCAGTGGTTGCACCGTTGTATGAGCTCGAACTGCATCATAACCACCGTCGAAAGGCGCCAGTGTTGCCAACAAATCTCTTCTGCCACCGTCATAGGCACCATCCGCTGGTCGACCAGGTATATGCACTTGTATACCGCCTGTAATTAACATCGATGACAAGTCACTCACACCTGTTTTCTGCACTCTCTTATAGTCAGTCATTCATCCTTAAATGAATCTATGTTTTGAGGCATTCTATAGGTCGCAAGTTCATCAGAAAAGGGATGATTCCCGTTGATCTGTTCACCACCCATTCCACTTTGCTCCACGATGGTATCACTTTCGACGTGTCTCGATAGCCATATTTTGTCCATATTCCAAACAATACGGAACTTTTGCTCATCCTACTTAATAGTGATTACTGAACAAATGCTACACAACTAAACGGCTGATATATGAGTGAAGGAAAAATGCTGAATGTTATATTGCTGCAGTCTAATCAAGTGTTCAGTTAGATTACCTCCACTAGCTGGCTTGATCCATTGAATGGAGGCGGAATTTATTTGTGGTATGTTTTTGAGTGTATGGGTAGGGTAGTGTTTTCTTCGGAAGAAATGCATTCGATGAGAGAGCGAAAAGCTCATCGGGTGGATAACGATGTAACACAAGCAATTACCTTACTGCATCACAATGCACTTTCAAGATATTACAAAACTGATGTGCTTAGCAATCGCAATAAGCAACATCTTGACATATGATCACTTGTATTCAATAGATCAGCCACTTGCGTATAAACTAACCTCCTGTTGAAGAACACCCACCGGACGATGCACGATCTTGTTCAGGGCATCCGCCAACCCCATCACTATCACCAGCGTGACTGACCTGACCAACTTGACCACCAAATGGTGCAGTTGCTGTTCCAGCACCGCTGCCGAAGGACTCTGAGGTATAACTGGGGTACTGAGCACCACCTGTAATGTGAGCACGTTGAAATTGGTGCTTATTTCTTTATAGCATATAAGTGATTCATATGAAAATATCGTCGTTGTGCGAATTTCACTGCTCATGTCAGATCGTTTGAGGTAGTAAGAGCATATGGCGCAGTCCTCCAAAATTTATTCAATCACACTCGCATTGCGGAGCGTTTTAAAGGGATCGGAAAATTATACGAATAATACTTGAAAGGGTCATACGCTCATCTGTGGATATCGACGGCATGCCCTGACCTGCAGTGCTCGGTTGTGAAGCACCAGCTGGTCTTGTATAGCCTAAGCCTGCAGTTCCAGCACCTGTACCGTAAGTGCCTGCATCTGGGTAACGAGACGAAGGCGTATATGCGCTACCGAATCCGACACCACCTGTTTGAGCACCAAAGCCGGCCGGCTTCTTCTTGCCCAATCCAGTTACATCAGTATAACCATTACCATAAGTGGATGGGTATGCGCCAGCACCAGTGGCACCAGTTTGCTCATAAGCTCCGCTTGGCTGGTATGCTCCACCGGCACTGACAGACGCTGGTCTCGTATAACTGGCTCCACCATAGCCATAAGTGCTTTCTGAACCACCGAATGCGGCACCTGACCTAGAACCCTCCAAATCTGCTGGTCTTGCGTAACCGTTACGCATCGAATAGGCGTTCAGTGTTGACGGAGTAAAGGAAAGTAGAAGGAACGCGCATAACGATATCGACATTTTGACGAACATTTTCAAATGTCGGCCTGAAATGAACTGTGGAAATTAAAATTACTCGTCGTGTATCGGTGAATTGCTGCGATGACATACAGACAGCACTGGTGAATATTACGGTAAATGTCTCGTTTAACTAATCATCACCTGTGATTACAGGCAACTGATCCTGATCCTAGTAGAAACATATCCAGCCAATTGATCCTAGCATAAACATGTTCAGTTGCAGTCATTCTCAGCTATACACTGATGAAAGTGATGATTATTTGCTTCACTTCGACTGATCCAATATTACGAAAGAATAGATGTAAAAAAAGCGCACTCCAATATGAAATGAAATCATAAATAATCTCTTTTTGAATGCCTAGGATTGGTGGATATATCAGACCTCAGGGAATCAATTCAATGAATTCGCGGCTATATTTCTGGTCCTCTCATGTAGAAATGAACATTCAATTCTGATGTCCTTCTCTCAGATTTTCACCACTAAGTCACGACTGTTCTTATGTTCAGTTATTTATTGGTCGAGAAATGTACAGAAACATGTAAAGAAAAACGGAGCAATATTCAAATCTAAAATTACCGAACATGAACCATTGCTCAAAAATTATCAAAAAACGTTCAATAAATTCTAAGAACATTTGGATCTGCGACTTTTCGCATTCAGCTGAATACAAACAAACCGATCATTCGGAACAGAAAAAGGGATATTGAAATGATTCATTTGCCAACAATCAATTTATAGTTGCCTCCTCAAGCAACTGACATTTTGTGCGCCTGTTTCGTTCAAAATCTGAGTTAATCAAGGCTGATGTTGAGCTGTCGAAATGCGCTCGAGAGAAAATTTTGTGCATTGTTGATAAATTAGCGGAGACATTTGCTACGATTAGTTAGGATTCAGCGCATAAATGAATGATGTATGAATGTAGAAAGCAATTCACAGTGAGCGCTGATCACTTTTTGCATTTAATTTCTCTTTTCAACTTCGTTTCATTTCTTTACATTACACTGGATTGGTACACAGATAGCCGATAGCTGTTCGTTGGATAGAACGCTTTCGTCAACAATCAATTGTATTGTTCTATCAAAAGAATGCAATCGAAATACTTTTCGAAACGAAAAGTGAGCATAATTTTCATTTTTACACAATCAAAGAGCACGTATCCAATGAAACCTGCTGCCAAGCAACGCAGTTTTCACCTCAAATGAAGATTATACTGTTGTAGTGGACATGAAGTGAGGATTTTCCAGCAGGAATGGTCAGTTCGGTATCATTAAGCAAATCGGTTAAATTGATTCACAACTGTTCTCGAGAAAGTACAAAAATTGCTTTAATATTGACGGTTTTCAGTTGAAATTTTTGTACTGTGCGATTCGAATACTTCCGTCGCTTTGTATCGCAAGAGCTTTTTATATCTCATCGTCGATTACATGCATCAGCACTTGTTGGTGCACACAGCGGGCTTCGTTGCTTCACAAAGTAATCATCTAGAAATAACCCGAATGATTTGCTGCTGATCAAATTAGTGAGAGCATAACAAACATTCATTTAACTACATGAATATGCAGCAACTGAACTTCAAGATGTTTTGGAAACATTTGAGAATGCAAAAGTTTATCAAATTTTATCGAATGAAATTAAACTCAAAAGCGATGCACTTTCATAAGTGAACATTTAAATAAGAGACGTAATTTGCAGCAATATGCCATTGTAAGCATATAAAATTTCCACATTTTCTTATAAAACCAGTAAAGATGTGTTCGAAAGGAATTTCTCTCGACAATAACGACAAGTTCCTTGAGAACACAATTTCTGCATATTTCCCGTTGATCATCCGGATGAGGATCACATTATCAGTTTCCAAATTGCTTTCACTTGCCAAATTTGATGGCTATTGGTGCATATTCGTCATGATGCACGTATGAACATTCTTTTTTCAGGTGTTTTGAACAACAGGAACATCATAGCAAACTTCGATTGCAGTGTCAATGGTTAATGTATCAAACTTCTGGATCGTGCTCAATCATGACACGCGCCAATGGACTATTAGGCGAGCTTCTTGCGCATTGCTTTCCAAATTCCGCTCGAGGTACGCGTGTTTGCTAATTAAATTTCATCAGGTGTTGCTCTATCTAGCAACAGATCATCTCGCGTTAATTGTTCGTCGTCCAGTTGACCTGCAAGCAATTCATGTTATCATTTGTGCCATTTACCGAATCATGCAGATTGAATGATTAAAACACGATTATGTTTCTGATGCAAAAGCCTACAATGGATTTCGATTTTTGACCATCAAAATTTCATGCAATTTATCATTTTATCAACAGTGACTTGTGGTTATTTTCATAGAGATTATATAGGATTCTTTCTCTCCTCATTTTACCATTCTCAGCAATTGCATTTTACCACACATTTCAATTGATTTTTTATGTGGTCAAATGACAACGTGCAACGTTAATGGGGTTTTCTGCAGGAGATTTTTGGACATTTTTTTGTACCAAGCGCGTTCAATAGGATAAACAATTTTAATGCGGTGCAGCATAAGTGACAAATAAATTCTTGAAAGAATTTTGTGATCAGCTAGTTTCCAGTGATCTCTTGTAAGTAGTGGATAAGGGCAATGCGAGAGAGAGCAAACTGCCTCAAGAAATGAGTAAATTGCTCGCCTGAGAGAACAAATTGTCTGAAGAAATCTTGACATATGCCCTAAGGTGTTCTTGATGTTTTGCTTGTGACACAGGCAAGATATTTGTAAACGATGTAAGGTTCAACTCATATTTACATCATCATGATTGATTAAGCACTGCGAACGAATAAAGCAAACGGCATTGTACCGTCTATTCACGTAATGATTGGTGGATCTAAGAGTGCGATTTCTCAGAGGAATAATGAAAAAATTCTCGAGTATCACTTAAATTTCTTCATTTCAGTGTGATTCTTCGAGCATTCAAAAATTCCCTCTATCTTTCTACTACTTCCAAAATGTTCGGATGTTCCCATCCTAATTCAGTTTCAAAAGATTTACTTCCTAATCTATTGTATTTCAAATATACGTTCGTTTTGTTCCGTGTGATAAGTAGAGATTTGTCAGGTATAGAATGTGTTCCCATGATCAGAACCAACAAATGAGTTTCCATCGATAGCATATTGTGCGCATTGGATTCATGGAGAACGTACTGGACTCTATTTTTCTCATTGCATCATTTTGTGTTCAGATGAATGCAAAAACTGTTTGTAATCGTAAATGATAACTGAAAATGAATAATGGTGGGAGAACAGTGAACTTCGTCCAATAAATTGACTAATAGCAGAGTGTTGTCGTTTTTATCGTTGAATGATGACGTTTCCGATAAACGAGTTGTTGCCTTATCAGCATTTCATGTCACTCACGGTTTGTCTCTGCAAACATTCAGAACGATGTTTTTATCATATTCCCACTAATCACTAAGTCATCCTTCCACATCATCTTTGTTGTTTCTCTGTGACCATCGAATGGCGTGCTGCCATTCCTGCAGTTGGATGCCATTGCAGAATTCACCACTAAAAAACTATTGTTCAACGAAATTAATTACCGACCTGGCAATCATCAATTTTCAAATTAATGTCGGCAAACAATATCGAAATTAATTTTCTGTTTTTATGAATTCCTTGAGAATCCCCTCGAGGAGTAAATGGCAAACATATTGCAGCAATATTAGATGTACGCGAAAGGTAATCGAGCAAAGAAATGAAGTGAATGGATTTCATCAATAGGATATTATAGAAACATAACGTATATTTTAAAAACCTGAGATATTTGGGCATGCGTATTGAGCAGGGAATTGTGTTTTTTTTTTAAAACTCTTGATTAGTGGTCGCAGCTTAATACAGGCTTGAGCTCCCCTGTTTTCACAATTGCTCTCTGTCGACGTGTCAGCAGATCTTATCGTTGTCATCGGCTAGAACCATCATTGACCATTTCGGAGCATGAATGAATCGCTCGTTCAGTGTCGTGAGAAATAATCAATGGCTCATTTTCAGATTGCTTACTGATTAGTGCTTCATTTACTGGGCTAAATGGCTAAGGTCGACGAAAATTCGCAATCGATGCCACTCGCGACATCCTATCGAAAATACGAAGTGAGTCCGACAGATCGAATCCAGGAACGTGTCAAAAAACACTATTATAATCAGCACAGGCAACAAACGGTTCAGTTTGTGAAAAACATGGTAAATTATTTGTATATCTTTAGATTGTTTTATGCACTCAAAATTGCGTTTCCCGACATGAACAGAAATTTTTTTGAGTTGAACATATTTACAGCACTACAAATGGCTACGATTCACACATGCTGAGATGGGAGTGTTAGAGTGTATGGACCTCTTGAATGAATTCGTGGATGACAGCGATCCAGATGTATGTTCTTGTCACATCACATTTACCACTTACCAGTTACTTGAAACATCAGAACCAGTTCCAAAAGAAATGACATCATGACAGAATACATGTGAAATCGTAAATATTTTCCAAATATGATTACTTCACGTACTTTAATCAGAGTTGACATGAACTATCACACAAACCATAGAAAAATGCAAAAAAGTGAAGCAACTCTCATGCACTGTCATTCAAAAGTAGTGTTCAGAACTAAAAACTATCATACAAAAATGATACATTTACGCCGTTTCATGTCCATAACTATGTTTGAATTTCATTGTGCTGCACGTTTAGAAACAAGTTTTTGATGACGAAAGCATTCGTGAGCTGGTGTAAAAAGTAATTTTGAACTGATCTGAATCAACTTTTGAAGTGCTCCAACAGATGTAAATTTCAATCGCTTGTTTACATTTTTTTAATGCCACCAAATTGTCTTGTTGAGAGCTGTTTGTTTCAATGGCACATCATTCATAGGTGGATATACCGAATATTATTCATGGTTACCAAACGGCCGAGAAATTACGAGCGATACATCCGGATAAGCCGTGGTTGCATTTAGTTGGATTAATTCATGATCTTGGTAAAGTGATGAGCGTTTGGGGGGAGCATCAGTGGGCAGTTACAGGTTGCGTTTTGATCATCTGATAAAATTGCTAGCCTTCATTTTTTGTTTCGACTATCTGCTGGAAATCACTGAAGCCTGTTGTTGCTTAAATATGAGTGAATAAAGTTAGACAAGCACGTATTCTAATTGATAATTCAGGTGACACTTATCCAGTGGGATGCATGCCTGCTTCCTCGGTCGTTTACGGACTCGAAAGTTTTGCTGGTAATGAGGACCTTGAAAATCCGCACTACAAGTCAGTTGTGTTTGCTACTTCAGCTCACTCTTTAATGCTCTCTTATGTTTTTTTTTTGTAAGAATGCATCCCGAGTGCGTGTTTATGACTGTGTTATGATACACTTGTTTTCATTTTCATCAGCATAATTTGATCACTTCAGCACAGAGCTTGGCATGTACAAAGAAAGATGTGGTTTGGACCATCTCCTAATGACCTGGGGTCACGATGAATACCTCTATCAGGTATGTCGAAGGATTTGTTCATCAATCCGATCTCACTGGTGAATTAACTAAAATTCATGCCATGCATAGATCAGTTTTAAACTATGCCCCCAAGCAGAACTAGTTTTTCGTCCGTTCACCAAGCATTTAGTTTTAATGTAACAAAATAAGTTTTTCATTTCTGATGCATTGATACTTACATTGCCAATTAACCTTGACTGTATAAAAAACAACCACGAATAAACATGATCTGTTCAAAGCATTAATTCTCTGTTTTCGTATCCTGAAAGCATTATTAAGGTTCTCAAAAATCACAAATCAACACTGCCAGAAGAAGGTCTTTACGCGATAAGATTTCACTCGTTTTATCCCTATCATAATAGTGGCGATTATCAAATTTTTCAAACAAAAAAAGATGTGCGGTTGCTTCCATCGATTTTGGAGCTCAAGTGCGTAACTATTTATTATATTTTTCTAAACACTCCATCTTACGAAATCATTGAACATTCAGTTGATGTAAGTTTTTTTTCCATTTCTCGTCGGTACCTGGCTTGAACACTAAATGAGTTGGTTAATGATTTGTGCTCACTGACTTGTTTGGCACTTTAACGTCAGTGGTTTAGAAATTGATTGCTGTTTAAACGATCGATCAAAATTGTTCAAACGATCGAAATAAAATTGTTCATTCACATGACGTTTATTGGTTTAGAAAAGGTGATGAAGTATTTTCGGAATCAGCTTCATTATATTTTCACATGGCCGAAGTTCACTTACATTATGAGTGAAGAGAAATGAGTTATTCCAGTTAGATGGAACAGCTGTTGGTTGATACACTGCAGGATTCTATGAATGATAACCAGCATTTCTTTCAGTGAATGCGATTTGTATTCGAAAAGCGATGAGATTCCTGATATTGAATCACTGAAAGAATATTATCAATCGTTAGTCGACATTTACGTACCTGGAGTGGTCAAATGGTGATAGAAGGTTTACGAACACTGACAAATACCTCAATGAACTTTTCAGTTTCATAGTCTCTTTGCAGAGATTTTTGTAGTAGACATTTCAGTTATCGGTATTGTGTTTCCTTGTTGTTTTGATGTCCCTGTCATGACAATCCTTCGTGTCGCACATTTAATCGCCTAATAAACTATCATATTGCGGAAGATGAACGATTTCAGATCATATTTCAACTTCGCATTTAATCTCACGACACATAAAGGAATCAAGATGTCACAATATACGATAATA